GTCAAACAGGAGACACCGTCACTACGTAAAACTCTCCTGTTTTTCACTCTAGCTCACGACTAATTCCTAATTGAACATTTGCCAACAAATTCATTTTGGCCATTCCGAGCCTTCTTAAAGCCATTTAAGCCCCGTCAATTGCACGCCCAATGACATTTGTACGAAAAATAGCATAATTCCATAGAGCGGGCGCATCATAATTAAATTAAAAATATTATCATTGCAGTAATGAAGGGATCGTTGATCGTCGTCTTTGGGCGATGCGCCGCTGATAAAATTCGTGCATTCGAGCACGAATTCGCGTTTCGTGGTAGCTCGACTATACTTTCAAGTAGTTCATGATGGCGGCTTTAAACAGGCCGGACAGTGATTTGGCTGAATGTCAGTGACGCAAAGTACTTTAGGTCGTTAAAGTGCACGAGCCGATAAGAAAAGTCGCGATACACGCGATTAACCGTGGGCAAACGAGTGGAAAGAAAATAGAGAGGTTGGCGGAAAATCGTAAAAAGTGATGTCGCGCATAAATTAGTCGAGAGTCCGGTTTTTTTGGCCTTTCGAGGCAGCCCAGCGTTTTTTAAATACCCGCACGGCGTGTGCCCGCAGGACAATGAAATTTCCGGCAGCGGGGTGGACAACGCCCATGCGGAGGTCGGGGCCGGAGTGCCCGAGCCCAACGGGCCTTACAGGATAAACCGGGCGGACCAGCCGGGCGCCCACCAAGCGAAGCTCAACCTCGGGGCGGTAATAGCCCTTGGCGTCTTCGGAGGCTTCGTCTTCCTCGCAGCCGTCATCACGACAGTCGTCATTCTCATACGCAGGTGAGCGATCTCATGACCCCGGCCTTGACAACTCAACTTTCTTATTAATAATCATGTCTTTTGTTCGTGGCTTTCTTACCACCACCACCACTACCACCACCACCACCACCACCACCACCACCACCACCACCACCCGTCCACGTCCCTCCAACCGCCCACCATCCGACCAAATGATCTGACATGCGACGTCAATACTGAAAACAATTTCAATATATGTGACATATTTTATTCCCCCCACTCCATCCACCAGCCCTTCCCCAACCACCTCCGCCCTCAATTTTTTTCGTTTGTCTTTTATTTTTAACATTCGTTCGATCTCGATATCGATACTCGTGACGGCAGGTGATCGTTGTTGTTTGCTTTTCTGCTTTATACAAGAACCACGAATGAATCGAAAAAACAAAGTATTGACATATACGTGTGTGTACATTTTCTCATTGCCCATGTACAAAGAGATTATTTTTCTACGGCGGTGTCGCGGGGGTGCACGCGATGGTATGCATGCATGCGTATACACACATTGCACACACACGCTCATTTATGTATATGCATGAATATATATATATATATATATATATATATATATACATATAGATTTATATAAATATCCGCATGCATACGCATATGAATACGTATATACGCGTATATATATACGTGTGTGTGTGTGTGTGTGTGTGTGTGTGTGTGTACACGCGTATGCATACTCATATGAATATATACAAATATATATGTGTCTGAGGGTGTGTGTATTTTAAGTGTGTGCGTGCGTGCGTGCGCGTGCGCGCGCGCGTCTATACATATACTGTTTTTCGCTTTCGTTGTGTCGTTCATTTCTGAAAATTAACAAAGAAAGTAAACTGCAAATTTCACATTTTAAATTAACTTTTTAAACTCGTCAATTTTATAAATAACGTACGTTATAAATACTACTTTGACATATTTTTATATATGTTTAGAAAGCGTTTTGCAAACACGTGGTTCTCGAGAGGGCATGAATTGATTTTCTTGATTATTTATGATTATTATCGAAGAATAATTGATTTTATGACTTTTTGCATAAAAAATTTATTAAATCAAAGTAAACAATTTCGTTTTATTGACATGAAGTATATACTGCCGAGCATTTGTAATTTTTTAGTTTATTCGGTGCACTGTGGAAAATGTTTATGTTATTTTATCCTATGATTATTGACAGTGGCTTCCACAATAAATATATGGAATTTAATTGCATCTACAGATTTTTTAAATATCGATATCGTTAATTATACACATTATATTGCAAAGCTATGAACACATTTTTCGAGTAAATAAAACTGTTTCGTAAAATTATAGTTGAATTTAACTACAATGTCAAGGGCTAATTTATGGTCGCGTGATCTTATCTAGATTGGAAATCCGATTGAATTCATAAACTCAACTTTCAATATAAGCAATTCTCTTCGACATGCGATTGCATTCTCACACATATAGTGGATTTTCGTTGGATAAATTATTAGCTCGGAAGAATGCAAGTGATCATAAATCCTTGAGACAGGAGTAGAGATTGCAATAGTGATGGAAAAGCACGAGATGGGAGAATTAAGAACAATTTTTTATGATGAAACTGATTGAGAAGAGTACGGTAAGAAAGGGAATAACGATGCCACTGCCAATAATCATCGGCCGAGCCTGATGTTCGACAAAATCATGGTCCTCGTGGCCAGAATTATTAACAACAAAACCTTCGTTAGGCGCTATTGCAATATTGCGAGAGCGTGCACTAATA